GATGACTGTCTTTGCTATTAATCACATCAGCTTAGACTTTTATAGTTTTATGGGATAGACAAGGTGGAAAACCCTAGGAAAGGGCTCAGAGTGTGAATACTACGACAACAGGTACTTATTATTACATAAAATGCTTAATGTTCATTCAGGCAAAACAAATGAGTTAGGAAGTTAATCTGCATCTGGTCAAATAGCAGAGTGTTGCTCTTAAAAGTTAAATGTCACTGCAGACATTTATGAAGTGAATTCACCTATTCACCTATCAGATTATTTTTTTACTTTAAAAAAAGTTTGTTGAGCCAGGTGTGGCAGTGCCTGTCTATAATCCCAGCATTTGGGAGGCTGAGTCGGGAGGGCTGCCGTGAGTGTGAGGTCAGTCTAGGCTACATAGCAAGACCCTGTCTCAAAAAACCAAAATAATAATAATAATAATAATAAATTTTGTAGTGTGTTAATTAATACAGAAACTACCACTGTAAGCTCTTTAGAAGACTAAACTATTGCCTTCCTCAAAATTCCTTTGAATTAATAGTGACTTGTGGCCAGGCATGACGGAAAGGCCTATAACCCCACCTCTGAGGGAGGCTGAGGCAGAAGAATGGCAAGTTCAAGTCCCCCCTGGGCACTTAGCAAGACTGTCTCAAAATAAAAGAGGCTTCGATGTATCTCACTGACAGAGTGTCCCTGCGTTCAATCCTCAATACCGGAGAAAACGTGACTTGTTTTATCAAGTTTGTATTTGGTACTAAGCTGCAGTTGGCATCTGCAAAACGACTCTTTTAAGCATGCTCGTTGTTGGGTGGTAATTCCTCAGGATGGAAAAGAAACCAAGAATTCAGATGAATAGGCAGACGAAGCCGACTCCACGGGAAGAGACCTTCGAAGAACAGGCATTGCACTGAATTTATTCCATGACCATCTACCAAATGCTTCACCCTCTTTCTTCCATTCAATATTCACAGGAATCCTGCGAGATAGACGGCATTTCGGTGTCTATTTTTCAAGTGAAAAATGGCTGATCAGAAAAGTTACTAAGCAACAGCCAGACACGGGCTCACCTGTAATCCTAGTACTCAGAGAGGCTGAGGCAGGAGGATCACAGCATGCAGCCCAGCCTGAGCAACTGGGAGACTTAGCGGGACCCTGTCTTGAAATTTTAAGAAGGCTGAGGGTGTAGCTCAGTGCAAAGGTCCTGGGTTTGATGGGGTTGGAGGGGATTAAACAATTTACCCAGTTGTTTCATCGCTAAGTAGATTTGAATGCAGTGACTTACAGTGTGCCTGTCATCTGTAGTTCTGCGGTTTTGTTAACATGGAAAATAGGAAAAA